GTGGGCAAGAAATTAATTGGAGAAGATTTGCCATATTTGGGAGATATAGAGAAGAGTATAAGCTTGCTTTTTCTAAATGTCAACCCTATTCTCCACCCCATTAGACCGAATGTTCCAGCCGTAATAGAATTGGGACAGATGCATCTACGTTCTCAGAAACCTTTACCTAAAGTAAGTAAACTGATCACTTTTTTGTTTAATTTCCATACGGATTTAGATACTACTTCGCTTTTTAACTCTGATGATAGAGTCGTTCATCAAAATGGAAACAGCAATTTTCAAAAAGCTAAGAGAGTATTTTCAAAAACAATAGACACATTAATTTTCGTATTCAGAGAATCTACGAGCTTTTTTCAAGATTCTTTGCTAATTCTGGGCATTTTCGGATGCTTATCAGATTGTATTAATTGTTTTTTTTTGCTTTAATTATTTCGACGTTTGTCTACACCTTTTCCACTTTTATTCGAGAAACTATCAAGTTAATTTGAGAAAGTATCAATTGTATTTGAGAATAGTAAAATGTATTTGAGAAAACAACAAATGTAGTTCAGAATAGTGATTTGCATTTGAGAAGGCATCAAATGAATTTGAGAGTAGTAAATTGTATTCAAGAAATGGTAAAATTAAGTATTTGAGAATCAATAACAAAATCACATGTATAACATAGCTGATGCTGCTGCTGCTGTGGCGGGACTACATACAGTAGCGGAATTATAAAAATTGGATTCTTAATTATAATTCATTAGGAATAATATTACATTCTGAAATACAATAAAATTAAATGATACTTTCTCAAATACAATTGACTATTCTCAAATACATTTGATGTTTTCTCAAATCCAACTGACTATTCTCATCTACTTTGACGTTTTCTAAAATACAAGTAACAATTCTCAAATACAATTTACAACTTCTCGAATAAAAGTGGAAAAGGTGTAGTTCTAGTATCTGAACCTGTAAATATCTCGCAAAGTTCCTTATGCAGCTCCTTTTTTACATACCTAGACCAAAAAACTACGTTCTTTCAGAATATGTAAAAGAATACAGGGTGTCCTTTAAATTTTGGGATGGGTTGTGACTGGGGGTGCCGAATATCAATAATATTAAAAGCTCTTTTTCCTAGGATTTACAACAATCACTCGACAAAGCAACCGAAGGAGTTGCCTACTTCAGCTTAGGTTCCAACGTGAGAAGTGCCAATTTATCATTGGAGCTACGCGAGAAAATAATAACCGCATTATCCGAGCTTCCTTATACGGTGCTGTGGAAATGGGAAGAAGATCATCTGCCCAATCAACCCAAAAACGTCATCATCAACAAATGGCTTCCTCAGCAAGACTTACTAAGTATAATCCATTGTAGTTAGATTAATCTAATGAGAGTTTTTGTAATTAGCTCATCCAAACGTGAAGGTGTTTGTAATGCAAGGAGGGCTTCAATCGATGGAGGAAGCCATTTCAGGTGGCGTACCTTTGGTTGGTATGCCGTTCTTTGGTGATCAACCCTTAAATTGTATGAAGATGGTAAACTTAGGCATTGCGCTTTCGATCGATACGGAAACCTTGACATCAGAAGATTTAAAGAAGATGATCATCGAGGTTGCCGAAAATCCAAAGTACAAACTTTTACATTATTTGCATCCTTATTAAACGTCTTTTATAGGTATCGTAAACGAGTGGAAGAAATTAGAGAATTATTATTCGATGTTCCCGCTACGGGTTTAGAGAAAGCTATTTGGTGGATAGAGTATGTCATACGCCACAAGGGCGCTGCTCATTTGAGAAGTCCTGCAGTCGATTTACCTTTTTATCAGTATTATCTTCTTGATGTTATCGGATTGGTTCTAGCCGGCGTTGCTGTCGTTTTGTTCATTGCAAGGAAGCTTTTTAAATTATTTTTTGGTAATGCTGACAATTTTGTCAGGACAAAACATAAACATCAATAAATAATCTCTGTTAGATACTAATTAGTAATTTTAAATAAGCTAATTTTGTTCTATATTAAGACTAGTTTTTAAAAATCCTTAGTTTTCCCAATATATACGTAATCACAGTCCTTAGAACTAATATCACATATTCCCGACTAAACTTCCTTTTATTTTTAGGACACTGTACTTACGTAACGGGAGCCTGTTAACATAATTCTTTAGTTAATATTTCAAGTTGAATAACGGATGCTTATTTTCACATAGGTACCGCCTTATGCGAAGAGATAAAAATGGTAGATTTCAATAGGTCGGTAAAGAGTTCCGAGTTGGGGCGGAATTAAACGAGACCGTTTCAGCTGCGTTGGTTCCCTGGATTACACGAAAGAATTGCGAATAAATCACACCCCTTTTTTAATCAAGTGTTTTTGAAAAATTGTATAAAAGAAATAAAAAATAATGTTTAAATTCATGAAAGCTTTAACACATAAAATACCCATCTGTGGCTTTGTGTTCAAATTTTATATTTAAATCTGTAAATACACCCAACAAGTCCTGGTAGGAACATGACAGTGGAAAAAGGATAAGTAAATGTCTGTTTCATAAGATAGAGTAAGGTGCCAGGATTCCGTAAAATAACTTTATTTGTTAATTTACACGAGAGACTATTATATTTTAATAAAAATAAAATTAAAAGCTATTCAAGCATCTATCCTCTGTCCGGACAATTCGCTCCCAGGATAATTGTCGGGGAGCCGGGAGCGAACTTTCCTAGGAGCGAATTGTCTTGTAAGCGAATTATCCGTGTCGATACGGTTTCCTTTATCACCTTTAACCAGAGCTGAGCAGTATTCGATTTTGTAAATACTTTTTAGTATTCAAATCCTTTAAAGTATTCAAATACTTAGTGATTAAATACTTTTATGGAAGCAGTATTTGTATTTGTAACACAAATACTTTCACAAATATTTAGTATTCGAATACTTCGCAAAGTATTTGGATACTTCGTAAAGTATTGGAATACTACAAAACAATTCGTACTTTTTCGATCAGACTTCTCAATCAAAAGTTATAGACTAGAAACCAATTTCGAAAGAAAATTCAAAGGGCTGTAACTGTTGATCTAGTAGCCCAATCTTGGAACTGTTTGAAATTATGCATTCTACAGGCCACATTCTATAAGAAAATTCGGGCCTCAAAAAAATGCAATGTATAACCTTCCTTTTTTACCAAAAATCTACTGCACCAAAATGTCTCGGGAAAACACTTTTTCTTATTAATTTTGGTGCGTAGAATCCAAAACAAGTCGTACTTCTTCGATCAGACTTCTCAATCAAAAGTTATGGACTAGAAACCAATTTCGCAAGAAAATTCAATGTTTTTTCCCGGTCGATCTCGGACAATTTTTTTCCGGTCTCAAAAAAAAGCAGTACTTTTAAGTTATTCAAATATTTGAGAACAATTTAGAAATGTTTAGGGAAAGTTTCCATTGTCACAAAATCAAATATAAAAATCCGATACAACTGAATACCGAACGATCCTGGAGTGAAACTTTTTGACTCGATAGTCTACGTAACTTAAAAACAATAGGGACCTTTCTTATATCCTTAACACCATGTGTACCAATTTTCAAAGCGATCGCACGTTTCTAAACAAACTATCATGCACACGGACAAACTGATGGTCACAAATGGATCTGTTCCAAAAGCGCTAGGATTAATTTCAGAAAGGCGTACGTATCATGTGCACGACGTTTTGAAAACTGGTACACGTATTATTAAGGATATAACTGGTATTAGAAAGGTCCTGGTAGGTACCTCCTATATAATAATACGCTTTTACTCCCCTTAAATTTGTATATAACAATAGAAATATAAAAGAAGCTAACCCCATACAAAGTATAACTTGATTTTTTAAGTAGTATTAAGACTTTTATCTAGTATACCTACTATTTTAAATTTTTAGTGTATTTGAGTGACAAGTATTTGAATACTTTTTACTGTATTCGAATACTTTTGATAGTATTCGAATACCTTTGAAAGTATTCGAATACATTCTAAAGTATTTGAATACTTATTTTTTAAAGTATTTGAATACTTTTCAATGTATCTGTACCTATCTAGTATTCACTTGTGCTGGACGTAAAAGTATTTAGTATTCAAATACCTTTGATTTGTGTAATATTTATATATTTATACTATTTATAGTATTCAAATACTTTTTAAAAGTATTCTGCCCAGCTCTGCCTTTAACAAGTCATAGCCGAGTTCGATAATTTCTTGAAACTCTATCGGAAAATGGCAATCAACTTGGAATCAGAAGTTGTCCAAATGTCGTCTACCGCACACCTCAGGAGTGAACGTACGTGAAAAGTTGTACTACTCATGTCAATATAGTTTCCTATATTATGTTTAATGAGCGATCGTCGAGAACCCTTTCGGATTTCTCTACTCCATGAAGCATTTGAATGATACTGCATCCTTTGAACCAGATTAACTGGAATCGGGTAGCACGAATCAGAATTTATGGGTTAAAGCCATGGTGTCTAGCAATAACCCGCCCGGGATGTTTAGCTTCGCCACAGAAAATGGTGACTACTACACCACATCTTTTTGGATGAGGATGGGGTATCTCAACCAGACGTATTCATCTTCACGGATGGATCTAAAACAATGGAAGAAACAGGCACTGGTTTTTATTCCAAAGAACTGAACCTGAATGGTACCACTCTGTACTTTCGTGACAAAAAGTCACCCTGTTCTTTCCACTTAATTTCATTTACCATTGTAATATCTAAATCTAACCTAAATATCCCCCTTTGTAAGTTTTCTAATCTGACTACCCTCCCTAAACTCCTCACATTCGATGCTCCTACTCGCAGAAGGTGGTCTTTCTGTGTTTTTTTGCTCTCCCCAGAATCCGTAAGGCACACTGCTGCGTGCACATAGTGTGGGATTCTGGGACTTACCCACCTGGGGTCCTTTTTTTTAAATACGCCTTCTCCATGGAAGCTTGAAGAAAGATTCGGTGGTGGTTCTCGCGGCCTAAATCTTAAGAGGGTTGTGTAGGGAAAACGTACTTTGAATATTTTATTTTTTTTCAGCATTATGCAAACACTCGCCGTTAATTTACATTCAGACAGTATGATTTTTATACATATTAACAAACTAAAAATACAACTTAAAACTTAGTATCCGAAAAAATGCTAATTACATTACATTAGAATAATTTACTATGACTAATCACATATTATACACTCACGGTAATTTAACCTTATATAATAATTAAATACTTTCATTAATTGCATTGTCAATAAATGATTAAGATGACACTCGTTGTTTATCACAAAAAGTAAAGTCCACATTGGACGATTACTAAAAAATAACGGTAACTATTTGGTGGTACTATTTTATGTCTAATGAGCAAAAATGAGATGGCGGAATTGACTGTTATTGAAGAATATTTACAGGCAAGTGAGAGTTGAACGATTAATAATAATGGACAATAATGTTTTAAGCACAAAACTACTTCAAAATATTAAATAAAATTCACTGAGATTTGTATCACGGCGTTTTCTTACATCATAGATCCAAACATGCGTTTTCCGCGCGTTAACATAAGACTAACAGCCATTACAGACAGAAGGAAGAAAACAAGTCCAAGAAAAGACGTAATTAATCTACACCTAAGTCTCCACTTTTTGTCTTGCTTCATCCTCTTCGCCAATAACTCCGATCTGGGGACGTCCAAAGTGAAATCTGCCTCGGGCCTTCCTCCAGGCTGCAACAAAAAGTGAACCGAAATTAAACAATTGTTCTACAACGAAACGATACGGAACAAATTCAATAAGCAAATCTTTTAGTGGTACAACAAGTTTGGCACCCTCAATATCAAAATTTACCTTTGAAGGCGAACCCAATTTATTTTTATACCATACTCTTTATTTTTTTGTTTATTTTATAACGAAGCACACGTTTTCCGCCTTGAAGTTTACCTGTTTTATTGAACACACCGTACATTTTGAAGTCTACCAGCTTTACTGAACACTCGGTATCTGGAGAAGTGTCGTGCCGAAACTATTTACTGTTGGTTCTAGGAACTGAAGATAGAATGCAGTAAACAACATCCGATTAAGTCTCTTTGCCTTTTGCATCTTCGCAAGTTACGTTTCGTAAATTTACTTTGGCTACCGTATCGTATTCGATCCTTTTGCCTTTGGTGTTTGTAACGAGAGGGCATTTTTACGTAATTTTTTTTTCTTCGATTTTATTCCATTGAAATATGCTGAAGGAAAACTTTTTAATTTTACAAACAGTCAAGGCTTCAATTATATTTATTATATATATAATAATATATAATAATGTAATAACCTACTGAATTAAAAAATTTACCGACACATTTGTTTAAGAAACATGTAAAGGAAACGTTGCTTTGCAATCCCCTATATTTTATAGACGAGTACCTACTTTGTTCTTAAATTTAAGTGTTAAGTTTTATTGTGTTCTATACTTGACAATTGACATGTGTAAATATCGTCAGATAATACTACACGAATAAACTTTATTATTATTATTATTTATTATTATATTCCATCAAAAAAATATTCGTAATGTCACGTTCAAGTTTTTATTTTGTCGATTGGAATCCGTCGAGCTTAATTTGTGGTCTTCTTCATATTTATCAGAGATGTTTTTGCTTTAAATTGTATAGTCTCGTTTTACGTGATAAAAAGAGGTCATATAAGGTTTCAAATCTTATGATGCGAATTATGTTTCTTTGAGAAAGAGATAAGTAAGTTTCTGTTGCATCAGCGCTTTTTGTTAAACACTTTAGAATTCGCAAACCAATGAGAATTAACGAAGGATCGCCGCCATTGATTTCCATTATGAAATAGGCGTTTTAAGTCAGCTTACTTGAGCTTTGCACAAAATTATTCATTCTGGTTTGAGCCGTGGTGCTAGTAAGATTCTGGTGTTGATAGTCAACCAGGGCAGATTAGCGTTTGAACCATAGAGCTTAAAGTTGTGGTCAGTAGGGCGTTTTTCCTAAAGCAGCCTTTAGAGTCCTAGTAATTAAATCCAGCTTTCGGGATTCTCCGAGTCCAAGTTACCATCTTGCATTATTATGAGGTCAGTGCGTTTCCGTTTTCGCTACCCTTAGTGAAAGTTATATGGGTATTTGGTGCCCATTAAAAGTGCCATTTTTAATCAGAATCAATGTGACATAAAATTCCGCCAAGGTATATTTATATATTCCCACAATTCGCGATAGTGTAGAAATTTAGTTAATAAGGACATTGCTCGTACTGGTAAATAAGGTGCGAATTCAGCGGATTCCTCAAACATTTTACGCGTATAAAGTCAAATTGCAATACAGAAAACTGGTAACACGTTTTATTAAAAACTAAGTACGTTTTTGGGTCACTAATGTGAAAATTAATCAAGGTGAAAAGTTTGTAAAAGGGGTTTCCCACGCACTAAATCTGGAAGTTACAGATAAACATTTAAAGGCGAGTTTACGTAATTGATTAAATTAAAATTTTTTCGTATATTTTTGTATTTTCATCCAAAGAAATCTCTGAGTTTGTGCCCAGTCTGGGGGTACCTTCGATAATGTAGTCTTAAAATTATAGTTACATCATATGAAGCCGTTCAGTTGTAAACCTTGTGGCAGAAACTTTTATTTTGGACTTGATTTTTTCGAATTTCCCGCAGACATAAGTTAAGTAGAATTTTTTAGTTGTAACAAATGTCAAGGTACTAAATTTGTTTTCGAAACAAATTTTAGTCCTGATGATCTAAAGAATTTATCTGAATGATTGGAGTCAATGGAATATGCGTTATTTTTGTGTAGTGATTATCAATGAGCTTTTGTTCTGTATTATCAACATCATCTCCATAGGTATCCTAATTGTATTACATGTGTTTATTCTGAACGCATGAAATTTGGATAGGAGTAAAAAAGAAAAGTAGATTTGTCATTTGAAATGTAATTATTTTGGTTTTCAATAGAAAATATTGTTGTGATTTAATTATAAAGTAAATTAAGAATATTTCATTCAAAATATCTTGTATAGTATGAGTGCCTATTTGAAATAATTACACTTCTTGAGTACACTTAAGGTACAGTTATATGAAAATGAGCGTAGCATCATTAAATGACCCCACCATATGAAGAATAATTTAAATCAATCATTTTTGGTATCGTCGCTAGTTTTTGCAATAATCGACTGTTTCAAGATAAATGAGACACCCTTTATAAAAAACTAATTAAGTAACATTGAAATATAAGATTATGGTAGTGGCAAAGTGTACTGCAACTCAGAAAAAAAATGACCGCTACACCCCAACTGGTATTGCTTATGCAGGTGCAGTTAAACCTAAATAAATCATCCCCTGAAACTGTTATACGCGAACAAAAACGAAATTTGCCCTTTTTATTACTAATAATTCATTTATTGTCTACAGTCAAGCAATTTTGCCTCCGGTTAACACTCTTTGAACGGGTAACCATTCGACAACTTGGCTCGTTAATAGAAAATGTGGGTAATTTTGGAAAAAAGTTATATGACGGCAGGATATAAGAGTTTCAATCTATCTTTTTTAGATAATTAAATTCTTTTAGGAGGAAAACTGAATTCAATCTAAAAAATTCAATGTACCGTTTTGTTAACAGCGTTGAGACTGTTTTGGCATTAAAATTGGAGCGTGAACGGTGAATATTTTTGTAAGTTGGAAAGCATTGCGGCAATAGCACATCATCGTTCACATTCCAAAATGAATAAAAATATCTAGACGCTGGTTATTAGATTTCCCTGGCGTACAACAGACATCTAACACATGCAAATTTCAGAAGAAATTAATTTTGTATGCAAAACAAATCGCCTTCACCTTGTTGTGTGTCAAAATGTGGTCTTAAACACTAAAAGCACGCGATATAAACTGAAGGTTTTATCAGAGATAAAAAAAACCGCCAAAGCGACAATATTTTCTAAGGCACAGACTGAAATTGAGAAAGAAATGTAATCTAATTCCACTCCTTATTTGCGTTTCCATCAGATGCCTTTAATAAAACTTCCAAGAATCCGAATATGAAACTTGCAGGTTTTTTTTTCTAAATTGCCACCGACGGAATGAAAAAATTCCTCACGTCTCACTATGTATAAGGACATCTGGGTTAATGTAGACGAGGTGGCCGAGTGGTTAAGGCGTTGGACTGCTAATCCAATGGGCTCTGCCCGCGTGGGTTCGAATCCCATCCTCGTCGAAAATTTTTGGCTTGTCCAGTAGGACGACAATTTGCAATTTGAGTCGTGCGAAATTTGAGAATACAATACAAATTAAAAGTCATAGTGATAAATAATAACGCGAGCCTTTTGTTTCGAACGAAGTGCGTTCGTCGTCTTAATTTATTTGCCCCTGCGTCGATTCCAAAGGGTAATGTGAGTAAAGCGCACCCCTACTGAATGTTCCGGATATTGATTTGTATCGAAGTAAGCAGGAAGGTGCTTTTATGACCTTATGAATATGTATGTGCAGTTAATAGTTTAAGTGAATATTTTCATTGCGTAGATTGTCACAAACTGATAAGAAATTGGATATGTAGTGTGACAAAATACTTTCCTGTTGATAAACTAGAAAGATGGTTGGCCTACATTATTTCCACAACACAAAACGCGCGAAGGGTACGACAATACGTTCATATTTTGATCAATGAATGACTATTTTTTTGCTAAAATTCAACAGCGAAGGCTATCACTTTTCACAACAAGGTAATTGAAGGTAATTCGTCTAAATCGGTTTGTGCAAAGTGGTTGAAACACTGGTAAATAAGAAATGTCACTGGTAAGTGTCAATGTTTTTTTATTCAGTAAGGCTAGCCCTTGCATCATGGAAAAACTAACGCACACCTAACGGCCAAGAAGAAATCCATCGAATTACCAGCATGATGGAGATGTTCATCCAAGCTCAAGAGACAGCTAGAAGAGAACAAGGATGAGAAGACAAAATGGAAGGAAACATGGAAGAAACCCAGATGGAGATAAAGAAGGAAGCTCGAAGAATTAATTGGCGGTTGAGCAATGCAAAAGAAGAAAAATCGACAATCAATTCAGCACCAGACCAGAAAAAGAAGAATTGAGCCAAGAAATTAAAGAGAATAAGAAGAAATTAGAAATACAAAGGGATACGAAGAATAATGTACAAGAAACGAGCAGTAGAAACTGAATTGAATTAAAATGACATTACCTGACTCGGTAATTAAAGTACTCGGCCCCGAAGGGGCCTCGTACTTCAATATTTCCTCGACAGTAATGTGTCATTTTAAATAACTATTGTACGAGAACGTAATGGAACAAGAAAAATTAAATTAGTAAATTTAAATAATTGTACCAAATCATATATCTGAAAAGGAAAATACACCAAAACATAATTAATAATTAAACAAATTATTTTGTGCCACCCCTTCATCCTCATCAGGCGAAAGATAATTTTGTTTTACTCCATGATTCTCCCTCAAAGTATCTTGTAATTTAATAGAATCTATACAGGAAAACTTCTTACGTTGACAAAACGGAATAAAATATCGCGCTAAAAGATCGATTTTCATCTTAATAAAATTATCGCACATTCCGTAAGTTCCTGATACTTTCTCTTTCAGATCCGGGATTCCGAAGAAACGTTTCCGTATCTGCCCATGTTCTGGTTCCGCTTCACTACGTTTGTATTTATTACGTTGGCCAATTTTTATTCGTAAGGTCCAAACGAACATAAACTGCATTT